TGTGGGAAAAGTTTCATACGGAGGTCAGACCTTGTTAAACATCAAGCAGTCCACACCGGAGAGAGATCCCATAAATGCTTCAACTGTGGGAAAAGTTTCATACATAGGTCAGTTCTTGTTAAACATCAGTTAATCCACACTGGAGAGAAATCCCATAAATGTTTGGACTGTGGGAAAAGTTTCATGCAAAGATCATATCTTATGGCACATCAGACAGTCCACACTGGAGAGAGACCTCATAAGTGCTTAGACTGTGGGAAAAGTTTCATACGGAGGTCAGACCTTGTTAAACATCAAGCAGTCCACACCGGAGAGAGATCCCATAAATGCTTAAACTGTGGGAAAAGTTTCATACATAGGTCAGTTCTTGTTAAACATCAGTTAATCCACACTGGAGAGAAATCCCATAAATGTTTGGACTGTGGGAAAAGTTTCATGCAAAGATCATATCTTATGGCACATCAGACAGTCCACACTGGAGAGAGACCCCACAAGTGCTTAGATTGTGGGAAAAGTTTCAAACAAAGATCAAATCTTCTGGCACATCAGGCAATCCACACAGGAGAGAGACCCCACAAGTGCTTAGACTGTGGAAAAGGTTTCATACAGAGGTCAAACCTCGTTAGACATCAGGCAATCCATACAGGAGAGAGACCCCACAAGTGCTTAGACTGTGGAAAAGGTTTCACACAGAGGTCCGGCCTTGTTAAACATCAAGCAATCCATACAAGAGGGAAATATTAACATTTAGATTAAACTTGGGTGTAATAATGTCATTGTATATATATCTCTCTCTTTAAAGTTTGTGGTAAACTGTTTATGAACGGCTCTATGGATAATTACCTTATGTTAATCCATGTAGTTTTATTACCTGTGATGTTTGTGAAGTAGGAGGTTACTTCCAAAACCTATTGTTCCCCCAAGGACTGCCTGCTGACGAGAGGCTGCAAAAATGTCTATATAAACTCTTGGGACCTGATCCTTTTATCTCTGATCTTCTTAAGCTTTATTCAGGGCGAGTTTGAGTCGTAAGACTGAGATCTCCAGTCCCCTCTGGACTGCCCTGATATTGAGCATTTGGACATTGGACTAGAACGTGATGAAATGATTCTGAAAAAGACTCTCTTCAATTCTAACGTGCCATCTCTGTGGTGAAACTGACCTAAGGACTCTATTCGCGTTTGTATGTCTAATGATCTTTTAGCCAATACTGTCTTTTCTTCTTTTAATAAATCGTAGTTTCGTTAACAAGAATTGGCTGTATGCGGGTATTTGGGTAAGAACTGAAGTATCATTAACTTCGTGGGTGATGTGTCTGCTCCTTTGGGATTGGTAGAATTCTTTATATGATGAAGATTTTCAGGAATCCCCATCAGAATCTCAGAGGACATTTTCCCACATTAGGTATCGTTAAAGACTTGCCTCTGTTGCCACTCTGTCAGATCATTTATTTTGTGATAGCCAGGGCCGGTGCAAGGATGTTTCGCACCCTAGGCAAAACTTCCACCTTTCGCCCTCCCCGAGCCCTGCGGCAACTCCCAGCCCCCTCCCCCCCCCGCCCCTGAGGTGCTCCCCCCTCCTGCAGCAGCTCCCCACTCCCTCTGGCCCGGGGAGCCGTGCGGCAGCTCCCACCCCCCCGCCCTGAGGCGCCTCCCCCGTGGCAGCTTCTCCACCCCCGCCCGGGGAGCTGTGCGGCAGCTCCCCACCCCTGCTCACCTCTGCTCCATCCCCTCCCTGAGCCCTGCGGCAGCTCCCACCCCCCTCCGCCCTGACGCACCCCTCCCGCGGCAGCTCCCCACCCCAGCTCAACTCTGCTCCGCCTCCTCCCCGAGCACGCCGTCGCTGCTCCACTTCTCCCACCTCCCAGGCTTGCGGCGCCAATCAGCTGTTTGACGCCGCAAGCCTAGGAGGGAGAGAAGCAGAGTGGGACAGCATGCTCAGGAGTTCCCCTGCGTGCTGCCCCCCCTTACTTGCTGCAGGCGGCCCTTCCCGCTCCCCCTGCCCCAGCTCCCTCCACCTAAATGCCGATGATGACTGGGGCGGCCGAAGATCCGGCCGCTGCGGTCACCGCCAAAGAAAATGCTGCCCCCCAAATGCTAGTGCCCTAGGCGACTAGGTCTCCTAATAGGTTGCACCGGCCCTGGTGATAGCATCTCCCATACCATGAAGGGTTTACAGAGCTGAATGATGCATCATGCCTGTGCCAGGGAACTTTCAGTGAAATTAACCTGTAATTAAAATCTAAAGATATTGCCCATTAAACTTGACAGCAATTCCCTACCTTGTACTCCTGGGCAGCCTCCTCTATGGGAACCACTGTGTGAGCTCTGTGAGCCCGGGACAGATGGCAAACCAGACAGATCAAAGTTTCATGCTCTTCACAGAAGTTTCAGAGCCTCCTGGTGTTCCCCACACACCCCGTCCCCTCCTGCTCCCTTTGCTTCCTGTAAACTCAGCCGATTGGCGATTTCTACCATGTTTCCCAGCTGCCTGTTGGGCCTGACGTTTCTCTGTTGCACAGTTTCTGAGGGCAGGAGACGGCTGTATCGGATCCCTCCCAGCACTGACTGACGTGCCTGCACTGCAGAGTGACAGCTTCTGTGAAATACTGCAGACAAATGGGACATGGAGCTTCCTCCTGGAGACTTTCCAGGGGGTTCTCTGCAGCCATGGCTCCCTCTGGACAATTTAGTGAAAAATGTACCACTAGGGCTCTGGTCCTGCAATCAGAGGCATCCCCCTATGAGGATGAGCCTGCAGGAGCTGTGTGTCTAAGGTGGGATAGTCAGACTTGGTAGAATTCATTTTTTTATTATATATATATATATATATATATATATATATATATAATTTTGACATATGTTTATTTTTAAGCAATTTTATATTTATTGATTTAAACTTTCACAGTTGCACAAAAATTTGGGTTTTAAGCATTTCATTCCAATTGTTATCAATTTAAATGTTCACAGTGGTGGGAGATTTAGGGCGGGATCAGACAATATTTCTTAAATTAATGTCTAATATGTTCTCAGGCACCATTGTTCTTACTGGGCCGATTGGTAAATTTCAGTTATTAGCAATGGGAGTATTTTTTCCTGGTTTGTGTGTGTACAGTGAAATCAACATTTACAGACATCAACCGATAAAGTCTAATCCTTCCAAGTCCAGTGATATGAAATTCACAGGACAAAACCTAGGTTAAGCTGATATCAATGTTTCGAAGGCCTGATTCTCATGTACAGTAAGGCAGCTCTGGCTCAGTGTAAAGAAGCTGCGGTGTTTCCAACACTCATGATTTTATAATGAGTCTCATTGTATTTGTTGTGTTTGTTAAAGCCCCAGCTCCTGGAAGCATGTGATGAGGTGAGACTCTTGGCTTTCCTTTCCTAAACAAAGGAAGTTTCTGGCTTTCTTGGTTGCAGAGAAAAACTTTAGGCTGCGCTCAGATCGCATTTTAAAGATCTGAGAAACCAGAAGGCAAATATAGTAACTCCTCACTTAAAGTCGTCCCAGTTAATGTTGTTTCGTTGTTACATTGCTGATCAATTAGGGAACATGCTCATTTCAAGTTGTGCAATGCTCCCTTCTAACGTCCTTTGGCAGCTGTCTGCTTTGTCCACTGCTTGCAGGAAGAGCAGCCCATTGCAGCTAGCTTGTGGGGGCTTGGAACCAGGGTGGACTGGCAGCCCCCCATCAGCTCCCTGCTCCCATAAGTTCCCTGTGCAGCAGCTGCCCAGCAGGCTATCAGTTGCCTGGAGCTGCAGATGATGGGAAAGGGCTCTTCCCCCCATTTTAGGAAAGGGAAAGTCAGGCCCAGACAGAATAAGTGACTTCTTGAGTTCATACAGAGCAGGGAACTGAACCTGGGTCTACTCAGGGTAACTTAGGCCTTGTCTACACTTGCAACTCAGAGTGCATTGAATCAGCCCTGGGTGCCCTAACTCCTGAGGTGTCCACACTGGCAAGGCACGTAGAGCGCCCAGACTCTGTGGCTGGAGCGCTCCTGGTAATCCACCTCCACGAGAAGCATAGAGCTTTCTGTGCCCAGGCTGGAGCGCACTGTGCCAGTGTGGATGCCCTGGTCTATTACTGCTCTCTAATCGGCCTCCGGGACGTGTCCCACAATGCCTGTTCTAGCCCCTCTGGTCATCAGTTTGAACTCTACTGCCCTGCCCTCATGTGATCAACCATTAGACCCGCCCTTTAAATTCTCTTGGAATTTTCAAAGTCCCCTTCCCTGTTTGCTCGGCGACGCATGGATTGCTCTCAATGCATCTTTCCCGGGTTAACCTTCCTCCACGCATCAGGTGATCACCAGCATGGAATAATGCTGAGGTGCTGGACTCATCAGCGTTTGGGAAGAGGAGGTTGTCCAGTCTCAGCTGTGCTCTAGCTGTAGGAATTATGATACCTCCGGGCAGATATCAAGGGCCATGATCGAAAGGAGCCATGATCGGGATGCACTGCAGTGCAGTGCAGGGTTAAAGTGAAGGAGCTGCGGAATGCCTCCCACAAGGTGTGGGAGGCATACCGCCGCTCCGGTGCTGCCCACATGACTTGCAGGTTCCTGAACAGGCCCATGTTCCGAAAGATGTGTGCATCATGCACCTTTCTGCGTTAATGTCCATGAAACATCCACAGTGATCCACAAGCACCAGGAGAACCATCAAGAAATACCCCTTCTGATTAAGGTACTCGGAGGCTAGCTGGTCTGATGCCAGAATTGGAATATGCATCCCATCTATCGCCCCTCTGCAGTTAGGGAAACTCATCTGTGCAAAGCCATCCACAATGTCCTGCACGTTGCCTGGAGTCACAGTTCTTCTGAGCAGGATGCGATTAATGGCCCTGCAAACTTGCATCAACACAACTCCAACAGTCGACTTGCCCACTCCGAACTGGTTAGCTACCGATCAGTAGCTGTCTGGAGTTGCCAGCTTCCAGACTGTGATCACCACATGCTTCTCCACCAACAGGGCAGCTCTCAATCTTGTGTCGTTGCGCCGCAGGGTGGGGGCGAGCTCAGCACACAGTCCCATGAAAGTGGCTTTTCTAATCTAAAAGTTCTGCAGCCACTGCTCGTCATCCCAGATTTGCATGGCGATGTGATTCTGCCACTCAGTGCTTTTTTCCAAGCCCAAAAGTGGTGTTCTATGGTGGTCAGCATGTCCGTTACTGCCACAAGCAATCTCGTGTCGTATGCGTTATGCGTGTTGACCTGTTCGTCGAACTCCTCACTGTCACTTTGTAGATTAAGGAGTAACTCGACTGCCATTCATATCGTGCTGGCGAGACCCATCAGCATATATTCCTGAACAGTTCGGGATCCATTATAAGACAGAGCGCGCTGTTCAAAAAACGTCGAAAGACTGCACCAAATGCGGAAGGAAGTGAACGGACTGCTGGGATGCGAAGCAATGCACGACGGGGAGTTGGGACAGGACCCAGGATGCCCCGTGACCTCCCTCCCCCATTCCACCAGCCTCAGCATCAGAATGGGAAGAGGTGCTCTGTGGGATAGCTGTCCATAATGCACCGCTCTGAAAGCCGCTGCAAGTGCCGCAAATGTGGCCACACCACTGCAGTTGGAGCTGACGGTGTGAACACACAGCAGCGCTTTCCCTGCCGCTGTCTCTGAGGGCAGGTTTAACTCCTACAGCTGCAAGTGTAGATGTAGCCTTAGTGCCTTCGCTACTGGGCAAACCTTTCCCTCTGCAGACAGACCCTGGGAGAAGGGGACAGATGGAAATGTGCGCACACACAGAGTTTGTCTGATAAGCATCTCACTGATCCTTCCCCTAGTTACTAGGCCAGTCTGTGCAGAGTCAGGTAATAACGATGATGTCAGCAGCCCTTCATGTGGTCTTTCAGGGGGTCTCTGCTACCCCAACTAGCCCCAAATTGGCTCAGAGCTGTGAAAAGTTACCTGTGTGATGGGGTTAGGTCGATCTAACCCCCAATGCAGATGCAGAGAGGTCAATGGAAGAATTCTTCTGCCACCCTAGCTACTGCCTCCCCAGAGGTGGATTAATTGCACTGATGGAAAAATCCCTTCTGTTGATTCATAGATTCATAGATTCTAGGACTGGAAGAGACCTTGAGAGGTCATGGAGTCCAGTCCCCTGCCCGCATGGCAGGACCAAATACTGTCTAGACCATCCCTGATAGACATTTATCTAACCTACTTTTAAATATCTCTAGAGATGGAGATTCCACAATCTCCCTAGGCAATTTATTCCAGTGTTTAACCACCCTGACAGTTAGGAACTTTTTCCTAATGTCCAACCTAGACCTCCCTTGCTGCAGTTTAAACCCATTGTTTCTGGTTCTATCCTTAGAGGCTAAGGTGAACAAGTTCTCTCCCTCCTCCTTATGACACCCTTTTAGATACCTGAAAACTGCTATCACATCCCCTCTCAGTCTTCTCTTTTCCAAACTAAACAAACCCAATTCTTTCAGCCTTCCTTCATAGGTCATGTTCTCAAGACCTTTAATCATTCTTGTTGCTCTTCTCTGGACCCTTTCCAATTTCTCCACATCTTTCTTGAAATGAGGTGCACAGAACTGGACACAATACTCCAGCTGAGGCCTAACCAGAGCAGAGTAGAGCGGAAGAATGACTTCTCGTGTCTTGCTCACAACACACCTGTTAATACATCCCAGAATCATGTTTGCTTTTTTGCAACAGCATCACACTGTGGACTCATATTTAGCTTGTGGTCCACTATAACACCTAGATCCCTTTCTGGCCAGCTCTCCTGGACTCCTTTCCCCCTCATGTTATTCTCCCAGGGGATCCTGCCCATCAGTTCCCTGA